CCAACCGTTGTACTCGCTTTCTGTTGTTTTCACCAAGGCATTTGATACGGCGAACCGCGAGGCATTGTGGCTGGTGTTGGGTAAGTTTAGTTGCCCGCGTAAGTTTGTAAGTTTAATTGAATGTCTGCACAGTGGTATGCGAGCGAGGGTGCAGCTGAATGGAGAGACCTCGGATGACTTTGCGGTTGTCACTGGTGTGAAGCAAGACTGTGTGTTAGCTCTTGCCCGCTCTAATATTATCTTCGTGCAATGATGTGCTTTTGATGCCGCTTGTGTTTACGGTGTTCGTGTGGAGCACCGTATTGATGGTGGGTTGCTGAACATCCGTCGTTTCGGTGTGAGAACTCTAGTCTGTGAGACAACTATCCATAGGCCGCTGTTTGCTGACGACTGTGCGTTGTTTGCACACAGCGCGGAAGAATTGCAGCACATCACTAGTGCTCTGGCTTCGACAGCAGCCAAATTCGGGCTCACCATCAACACAACCAAAACTGTCTGTCTCTTTCAGCATTCACCGGAGGTGCAATCTTCCATATTGCCGCGATTCAGCATTGGTGCTAAACTATCGGAAACCACCTCCCGCTTCAGCTACCTTGGGAGTGTGATGTCGACTGATCAGCAGACACACTGTGAGCCGCGTATTCGCGTGCCGAAGGCAGCGGTGGCATTCGGGAAGCCTGAGTACCGAGTGTGGAACAACCATCAGCTTAGCATTGGCATGAAGCGGATGGTGTACAAATCCATGGTACTGTCCGTTCTTCTATACGGCAGTGAAACGTTGACGATGTACCGTCGGGATGTGCGATATCTCGAGCGGTTCCATCAGCAGTGTCTGCGACGAATTTTGCGCATCAGTTGGGGCGCCAGAGTTGCAGACACGGAAGCGTTGCGTCGAACTGGTATGTATGCAGTGGACTGTATTATATATATATATATATATATATATATATATATATATATATATATATATATATATATATATATATATATATATATATATATATATATAGACTTCAGCATCCCCCACTCCTGTATACTACGGATGTAAGTCCTTTTTTAGACTATCGCACACCACCACTTCCTCCCCCACCAATCCAGCCCCTATCACGTGCGATTACGAATCAGAGAATAATCAAACTACTGGAGTATGTACTTCATTCAATCCAATACGATCTAGAGCTCAGTGTGCCGCAGCTACCTCACAACACACAATTCTCAGATACAATGACGATGAAACAAACATCGCCCACTACTTTCATTCCAAGTTAACAATGTCTTTCAAATCTGTCGTCATTAACATTCGTTCCCTTTTACCTAAATTAGATATACTTTCAACACTTATGTTTATGAGATCCCCCGATATTGCTTTTATCACTGAAACTTGGTGCACGTCAGAAATTAGTGATTCTCAGCTTAACATCTTAGGCTATAAGCTTTTCCGCAAGGATCGCTCACACAAACGTGGTGGTGGCTGTGCCATATATCTTCGAAATAACCTGACTGCCATTCCCGCAGATCAACCTGTGTTCATTGGCTTAGAAGATACACTATGGCTAGTGATCCCATCTATTGATCTTCTAGTGGGTTGTATCTATCGGCCGCCCCGAACTACTCAATGTGCAACCCAAAAGCTAATCGATATGATCAATGTTGCTTCCAGCACCACATACAAATCCAAAATTATGTGTGGAGATTTCAACCTACCACATGTTAACTGGATGCTGCCTGCACTCAGAAACACTGCGGAGATTGAGGAAATCATCTCATGTATTCACCTCAATGGCTGGACCCAGCATGTTAGAGAGCCAACCAGAAGTGCCACTACCTTAGACCTTGTATTCACGATGAGAATCTCTTACGCTTATACATTCATTGATAATCCACTACCTGGCTGTGATCACAACACGGTGCTTTGTGATATGACTATAGATTCAACTAAACGACCAAGTAAAATGCTAAAACCCATTCGCAACCTCCATCATGTGGACTGGAACTCATTTAACGAACTTATCAGTACCATGAATTGGAATACGTCATTCCTAACTCACAACCCTACTGTGGCTACAAATGAGTTTATGAACAATATTGCTCTTGTTGTGGATCTACTGGCACCTACTGTAAGGAGAAATACCCATGAACATAGGGGTGAACTCAAGCTTCTGTCCAAAGCCAAAATCAAACTAAAGAAACTCAAATCGCTATATCGCAGGAACAACAGCTTCGCAACATTGCTACAAATACACGAGAATTTACTACATTTACAACGTCTAACCCAAACGGTCAAAATCAAAGAAGAAAGCCGGGTACTCAGAAATCCTGAGAAAGTACGTACATTGATGCAACTACTCAAAAGAAGGAACCCTAAACCACTTCAGGAAATTGAAACGTTGGCTCTAGACGATGGTTCAATAACGCGCGATATCTCCTGTATATGCGAGGCCATGAACTCTAGTTTTGCCTCCTCTTTTGTCCCCAACATTCAGCCACTTCATCCTCCACTTCCAAAAAGAACGACCGAACTATACTGCAATATCCCTGTGACGTTAAGAGAGGTGCAAAGTGCCATCGCAGCCATAAAACCATCAACTCGTCCAGGTCCAGATGGCATCTCCCCAACTGTTATAAAACTCGGAGGAAAAAATCTCGCTCTATTGTTATTAAACATCTTCACACTTTCACTCACTACCGGCTGCTTTCCAACTCAATGGAAGCAATCCATTATAATGCCTAAGCACAAGGGTGGCCCGAGAAATCAAGTGTCAAGCTACCGCCCAATAAATCACACCTCTGCTGCTTCCAAAGCCCTAGAGCGAATAGTCAAGAAGAACATTGTCCAATATCTTACAAGACTGGATCTGATCAACCCTCACAGCATGGCTTTCTCTCAAAACGCTCCTGCGTTACATGCCAGCTACAATTTCTCGATCACGTCACGACTATGATTGACAGAGGAATGGCAATTATTATAATTCTGTTGGACATGCAAAAGGCGTTCGACCGCGTGCCGCACAAGCCACTGCTGTCTGCTCTAGAGTCATATGGAATTGGAAATCCGCTGCTTAACTGGTTCGACTCATACCTAAACGGTCGAACTCAGGTAGTTAAAATCGGTCAGCAACATTCTACACCGAAACCAATAACCAGCGGTGTCTTCCAGGGAAGTGTGCTCGGACCACTACTTTTCTTAATCTACGTAAACAATATATGTGACCCGATCAAACATGGACACCCATTTCTGTTTGCAGATGATGTCAAACTGGTTTACTCATTTCATCCAGACCAACTACATATATGTTTGGGGAACATCTGTGAAGACCTATCCGCACTAAATATAGCTAGTGAGCGTTTATTAATGAAGTTCTCCGCAGTGAAATCCCAAGTACTTGGGTACAGATGCCGCATCCCAGAAGGCTCCATCATACTTGCCGGAAACGTGATCCCAACATCTGATTCAGTTCGGGACTTAGGAATTAGATACTCCAACTCTTTCAATTTCTCCGAACATGTTCTTTATCAGGTTGCGAAAGCAAGGCAATTATGCGGATATATCACCAGAACTTTTCCCTACCTGAAGCACGACTTGAGTCATTCAAGACAATAGTACGACCGACTCTGGAATATTGTACTATCGTTCACAGCCAATTGAGAAAGAAAGACAGAACGGCTCTGGAAAATGTCCAACGATCATTTACCAAGCTGGTCATGGGGCGCTGCTCAAACCTGACTTATTATGATCGCTGTCGAAAACTCCAACTGGATCCACTTTGGCTGAGACGCTTAAAGAACAACCTCGTTCTCTTCTACAATATTATAAACCAACGAATTTACGCAGACAGCACCGCACTTGAACTACGGAAGACTGCAGTCTACCCCACACGTAATGGCGGCTACTTGATACGTACAAACCTTTCAAGTCATAAAACTCGGTCGAATTTCTTCTTAGTGAGATACACTGATCTGTGGAACAAACTACCCCTACAGATACGCATGTGTACAAGCCATGTCACGTTTCGAAATCTCCTTCAGACCTTCCTCACTATACCAAATGCTTTGAAGATATTTGACTCACAGCAAACTCTAGAAACATTGACAGAAGCTGGTATAAAAACATATGAGAAGATATTCGCTTACAGCTAGCTTACCCACTACATGTCATTACATACCATACCAAATCCCGTGTCTTTGCAGCCTAGTAGTCCCTCCCTTTATTATCTACTCCTGATGATACAAACATCCGTAAATTTTACATATGAGGTGCACGGGTCTAGCACCCAAGGAAAAAAATCATGATCCGAAATTCTATTAACAAACTTTTCTTTAATATTATGAAACGTATTCACTATACAAATGATCGCTCCCACTTATGGGGCCGTGTACCGTCTGTCGGTAAATATACAAATATATATATATATATATATATATATATATATCGCTTGTGATCTATTGGGAAGAAATTAATAAAATACTAAAGTTGTTCGTTTCTTGTTCCTATATTTTACGGCCAACCAATTTTAGGCAAAATGTAAAATACGCTTCGGCTTTCTTTGGTTTGTTGTACAACATTTAACGATAACGCCCGTATCACTTCTGCCAATACTATCTATTCGTGAGTCCACTACGATCCTCAAGTTACAACTATGATTGTAGAACCACAGTCCAATCAATACAAGCTATTCCACCCAGTATGTTGAGTTTTTACTGACTAGTTTATGTGATTAGTTTAATGGCTCGATTTTTCTTGTGTAGTTGTTTGTTGTAAAAACACACATAAACCCACAACAAGATGTTCAAATTCATACAAGCAAGTTGCTCTGGAAACGGACGTCGCCAGCCGTGCGGAGTCACACGGGAGAGTGCAATAACCAAGCACCTAACCCTGGAATGGCCACGATCCATTTTACGAAAAGGCTAACGATGCGAGGTCGCCACACTGAGGGATAGCTCAAATAAAATGCTAGCCTAGGCGATCACATGTGGAGCAGCAGCAGAAATGGACTGACTTCAACAAATATGGTTTCCGCTCCAACCAGTGCCAGAATGTCTTGCATCAAATCGTGTACATCATCACGGAAATCGCGCAGGTCATCTGTGCTTTCCAAATCGGAAGTGTTGCTGGGACAAAATCGAGTGAGTGCGACCATCACACGTGTGAAGTACGGTACCAGGGCTGCAATGGGGCGAGGACCACTGGCGCCGGAATCCCCTGGGCTAACCAATCGGTTATCATGACCGGATTTGCTTGGTGCAAGTGAGGCAATCACGGATCGATGCTGTAATGGAGAAGACAGCGAGAGAAATGCTATTAGGCCGAGTTCAACTCATTAAGGCCGGTGCAGTTAAACAATAATGGGTTTTTAATGTTCCATGTTCTCACAGATAAATGTGCAAATAAGTGAGGGTATAAAACTGAAAAAATCAAATGTCGGCAACGTTACTGGTGCATGCTCAGCAGTGAGGGGTACGACAGCTGACCATAAGGATTGGGAAAAAGCAACGATTCAGCAGCTCTAAGCTCTAACACAGGCGAAAACAACAGTCGGAGGATCCAAGTTGAAAAGTTGTTCGCCCGGAACCAATACGTCATCATCGCGCCAAAAAAGCTAGGTATTGTGAGTAAGCAGAATGAGACAGTAGGCTGCGTGTAAACTGCATAGGCTTAGTGGGATGTCGAAGTAGCTGGACCCTAAATGGGGCACATCGATAAAATGGCTTGAAACTTGGTAACGGGGAAATACGAAGCAGCGCAGACCAATTGGGATCAAGGTGTGCTTAACGACTCAGGTGACACCTGTGAGTGATGCCTCCCGGTAGCATGTGAGCAGCAAACCGAGTGTGTGATCAAAATGAAAGGCGCGTGTTCGATGGATTTCAAGTTACAGGTGGTTCGGTACCATGAGCATCAAAGCAATGTATGCAGAGTTGCACGATAAAAGAAAAATGTTTGGACCGATAGATGCGCCCGCATGTGCACATAGTAGCCAGATTAAGAACGATCGGTATTAAAAGTTGTCATCGAAAATTATGGATGACTGGGCGATCAGCGATGAAAAGCGACTGTGCAGCTTTAGGGTTGCCTGTACATGAACAAGGCTACAAATGAAGACGACATTGGGCGAATCACACAGCCATCACATGCAGAAAACACGGGAGTCGCGTACATCGAGCGGTGATGGCAAAGAGACAGACTAATCACATACAACTCTCTTCCCATAGTGTCTGTTTCCACTAACTGCTGACCAGTTGCATCAAGTTCTCAAACAAGCCTACATAATAACGGGGTTATGAAGATAGTGTACAAAATGAACAACCGACAGGGAAGCTTAGGATTCGAAACCACTTGCATGGGTGAAGTCACGGTGTCACATAGAGGAATACTAATAAAGACAGTAAACAGGCGCAAACGATGAAAAGGCTGAAAATGTTTCGGAACAGGTGTTACCGACGAACATTCTCTGGGACCTCAAAACTCCACTACGCACCCGAATGGTATCGTCTGCTAGCGCGTGCAGTGCGCTAAACGTGATCGCAGCCAACTCGCGGCTCCCAAGCGGTGGTGACAATTCCAACAATACCAGTAAACAATCCAGTGTGCGCAAATCCCCGTAGGTGCCGGAACCAGGGGCGGCGGGTTGGCCAACCAAAGATGGTCTAACAGCTCGAGTGAGGGAGGAGAACACGTGGGCCAAGCAAGTGCATCGGTCTTTGTACAATTCCACGCGCTCCTGCTGATGCGACTGATTGGCAATGGAGGCGACGGCTGCGGCACAGTCTTGTACGACTTTAACCAATTCGTAAATATTGGTCTGGAGCCAAGAGAGAAGACCCCCAGAGGTACCGGAGTAGTTCTGTAAAAATGGAAAATACAATAGATGGTGGATGTAGTTAGAAACGTAAAGAGATCTGACATACAGGGTCTAGCAAATAACGAGTGGCGCCAAGTGAATGGAAGAAGTATGTGCCAAAATCTTCTTGTGTGATATCGAAGCGAACACATAGATGTAAACTTGTAAATCAAATAGAAGGAATAATCCGACTATGGAACGAAAAGAATTGGCTAGTGAATTAGGTTCAAGAACCATGAAAATTACACTACTCACAAAACCACCAATAATCTGAATGAAGAAAGGCCAGAAAAACCAGTGACCATGCGATCTAAGACATCTTGCAACCAACATCCGTAAGAGAACGTCGCCTTATTAGGATTCATCAGAAACATGTAGTTCCCCAAGAACGCTGCGTTGCTGAATGTGACGATCGCCGGTAGTTTAGGAGAACAGAACCAAGGTAGGAGCATCTGACCGACAGCCCATTAAGTATCGCCCAAGTGAGCTGGCCGTGATTGCACGTGGCCGGATGGACAACACTAAAGTATTGCATGAGAGAAGCTCTAGGCGACCAAGAGCAGATAACGCAGAGAACGAACAGCGCAGGCGGATCAATGGACTTAAGCAGACGATGCAGGATAGTCGGCGAGAATCAGCCAACAAAGATGAGTGGCAATCGAAAAGCGCTTCAAATTTATGCGCTGTATAAATGATTCCACGGTTCATGATTTTTGATGACTGTTAAGAAATTGTTGAATTTTGGAGGACCAATCGAAACTGATGAGAATAGGGAAAATGGTCAACTAACACTATTCCGAAAGTGTGAGAGATGACGGGGTCCGCTTGTGACAGAGGAACTCATTAAAATGGTCTAAAATACCACGGAGAATGCCTAAAATATTCACACCATTGATTCAAATGAAAAATGGCGCTTGGCCAACACTCAAAATGCTGAGTAGATTCTTAGGAGTGGGAAAAGCATAAGATGCTGGAGGACATCGGTAGGAGATCATTCGGACTTACAACGACGGAACGCATACATGAGAGCGAGAAGAACCTTCTGTTTCAAAAGATAAAACGCATTGTTGCAACCCTGTGATGGTTCGGTTGCCACCATATTGTTTCGGGGGTAATCGAGTTATGCATTTCGATGATGTCTGAATGCAGAGATAGCAAAACCTAATTTCCCGCACAGTGCGTCACAGTGAAACATGCGATGTGAATTTCTCATCAAGGTATTCCGTCCTATGGATCTTCATTACAAACCCAAACGGCATAAAACAGAGGGAACCGACAGTTTACTGCTCTTGGACAATGCATCCTCGGGAAGTCTCATCGGTTGATGGGAAAGCATAGAACAAGCATACAAATGCTATAGGGGGCAGTTAACGAACGTATCTTCGCGAGCGCATAGCTCAGGACCGCCATGCACTGTGGTCCCCCTATGGTCCGGTAACGGCAAGGTCAACAACCGAACAATAAGGTGATGTGTGAGGCAAAAACCCGAGAGTACATTGAGTGCACTGAGTCCGTTGAAAAGTGACAATGGTAAAATGAATGGATTTGACCGACAAAGGGTTATCCATATTGGCAGAAACAATTAACGGAGAGGATAGAGATGTGACAGGCTATGCAGGACAGACAAACGCAAAAGAATGGATCAAAGAAAAATGGACATTTGTGACGATAGGACCAAGCAACCAAATGGGTCAAGGCGAGCCACAAAAGCGTGCCCATTCAGAAATAAGAACGTAAAGTATGGGCTAGCAGCAATGTGCTAACAACTAGCTTCAATGACTAACTGGCAACGGCCTCCTCCGCATCATCATGTTACACGTTAGCTACAGGTGAGGAATACGGTAAGTAGGCCACAAGATAGTAAGAGAAAAGGGAAAATGAAGAGCAAAAACAGGTAATATTATGTATGGTATTATAATGCTAGTAAGTCAGCGCTCGGTAAGTACGCTGCTCCCAATTTCCATCTGCTAAATTAGACCAACAATGCAGCAGATAAGGCACGTTGCTGTCAGTATGTGCATATGTCTGTGAGTTTGTTTTGTCGCATTCTGACAGTATTAATTGATTGATATCCCCGACCTAACTGCGGTTGGTGCGAGTGTTAACAAAGGGAAAACCTTTCGAAAAAAAGCTAGCACGATTATACTGGCTCCAGGAGAGAGTTGGTGCTTCCTTGGGGAGCCCGGGTGCACGGTCCACGTGACTGTGTTAGTCTTGAAGAGTGGTTACAATCAGTGTTTAACGAACTAAGGCTTGCCAGCCCTATGTGTACGTTTGGTATGCATGTTTCCTTAAGTTTAACCAAACGGTGTGCATGTTCAGGGAACGTGGGTCAGCTGCGAAGCAATTGTTGCGCCCATCTACCTGCCTCCCGGTCTTATTCCTTCGAGTTTACACTGGATATGTGATGCATGGATGGAGCTGTGGGTGGTACAACAGCAACCACCCATTGTTCCTCTGTAGACGCAAGCATCCTGTGGTTGCTCGCAATCGCAGTGACAAGCAAATCCGGAAACGGATGCCGCAAAGCGTTATGGACCGAGATTGAGCAAGCGCTGTTGTGGCCAGCTCTTGGCCCTGCCAACAAGTGTATGCAGCCAAATGTGTTACTGACGCTTTTTTAAACATGGATCCGCTGGATCTGGAACAGCTCAAGCGTGTCAGCAAGGAGCTAAAAAGATGCAATGAGGATGGGGAAACCAATATCCCTAAGTAAATTTTCAGGTGGTTTCCGAGATTCCACGAATCGGGATAGACAGTTTAATCATATACCTGTAGCTTCATGATGCTGCCTGCGCGTAGCCTTTATCAACCTTCGTTGTCTCATGAACAAGCGGATGAGCTGTGTCCTTTCATTGCCTCTGCAGTAGGACTCGCAGTGATGTGGCTGAATTCTGGGGTCACAGACCAGGAAATCAAGCTATGCCGCTACTCGTAGTTACATTGCCATAGAACATTGAACGCCTCGTGTCATTTAACTTTGCACCCGATTTTCTTCGTGTGAGAGACTTGTGGGCAACTTCCGAAGTGACGACGGTTTATGTGAGCAGCTGCGATGCTTGGTCCACGGGAGCGGAGGTGCTCCTGGGTACAGTTTATCGCAGTCCCCTGAGTCATTGTTCAGACTGCCTGCCGTATCTTCGAATTCACACGAGTCGTCTTTATTTACCATTCATGGATGATTTCAACAGTCTTCGAATACTCTGGCCTTAGGTAAAACGCATACCCGGACATTGTGAGGTCGTAAATTCGGTACTCGAAACGGGGGTACCGCAACACTTGTCCGAATTATAACGTATGATTTCGTCGTGCTTAGACGCGACGTTAACGAGCTACGAACAACATGTGCATGACATTCGGATTCTGGAGCTCCTGATAACAAGAAAAAACTCGGTGTGCTTATAATTCGTGCAAAAACCAGACGAAGCCAAGACTAGGTAATCGCACGAGACGCGACAATGAAACTGAAGGCTAGTAAACCTATACTATACGCACAGTCTGGGCAGAAATATTAAAAACTAAGTTCCTGTTACCATGGCTCTATAATACAAATTAGATATAGTAATCGACGTACGAATAGGTTCGCAATCGTAATGGGAAAGGGCAGAAACTGGAAGACGTGCAGCGACGTGGACAAACGGTGTAGTGTAGCAGTTTGCTAATCAGCAGGCTATCAAGGATGAAAGAATTGACCTTGAGGAGTCAAGGATATGCCAATAACGCGAAGTGAAAACGTGAAATTTCATAATCCAAGTGTTAGAAGCAAAGACGTATAAATTTCTGTAAGGATATAAGTGAAGGGTTTTAGAAAATGGGATATTATGTCCTCAATAGGTAAAGCAGTTTGGCTGAATATTCAAATTTCTCTTTGGAATTTACAGTCCGCATGGAACTTTCTTTACCGTATTGCTGTCCGCTACAGGCAATTTACAACTACTGGAAAACTGACTTCGATAGTCTAACTAGAGCCGCGAAACGAGTGAATTGATCTCTGCAACTTGAATATCAAGTCAAGCTTCATATACCTATGTGGAGAAGCACTGACCACCAGTTAGCTCCGAGGATAGCTGAACATGTGCCAAAGTGGTTGGGACAAGTGTTGATGCAACAAAACGGAGCGGATCAGAGGATGAACCGGAGATCACCATCATCCACCACCAAGCACCTCTGGGTAACTCGACATTGTGTGAAGCCGGAAATCGCGTTCAGGGTGTTACTGCAAAACAACAATCCGATAAGTTTTGCATCTAGTGAGGCTCCGCGAATTAGGGTTTATCAACCTGCGTTTGGTGCAAAGAAACTATCTAGACAATCAATTAGGTTAGGTTTGATTGATGTGCCAATTTTCCATGTATATAGATGTATGTGTGTGTTCCGCTGGTATTGTGTTTACGACAGATGAGAACAATCGAAATGTTGACATATCACAATTTATACCTTCTCACTGCTTTGAAGAGATTGCTATTCCTCTGCTAGCGGTACACCCCACTCTGTTCACAATCCATATTAACGATTTACCTTGGGTGCTCTAATCACGGTGTGCTTTGTTTGTGTACGGCCTGGAGATATGGAGAGTGATCAGCATCCCCAATGATTGCGGCCTATTTCAACAAGTCCTCAACCACTTCGCCATGTGATCTGCAGAAGTCAGCCTCCTAGTCAACTCAACCGATTCGTAACTCATCAGTTTTGGAAAAGGTGGTGAAGGCCAAACCTACACCCTCGATCGCCAACCGCTACTTTCCTCACCTTCCGTGAAGAACTTAAGTGTATCCATGCGATGCGATATGAAGTCTAAGGACAAAACGAACAGAATATATCGTAAGGGATTGCGCATGCTTTGGGCGCTCAAACACACCGTCTGTAACTAGCCTGAAGATATCCCCACTTATCTCATAAAAGCAATGCTAGAGTGCGGCCTGCACAGATATTGTTCGGTCACCCGATGTAAGGCATAGAAGATCGAATGGACCTAACACGTTGCTATCAGGCACATCCCGAGT